ACATTAGACGACCACCACTGTCAGTGAGGTAAATTATTAGTCTCTGTCTGTCTGTCTGTTTGTGTTTGACTTTGCACCTTTCTGTTCTTGCATCATTCGTTTACCTATACCTATAAATCACACACAGTGGCAACCACCCCCTCAGTGGCAACCACCCCCCTCAGTGGCAACCACCCCCCTCAGTGGCAACCCCCCCCTCAGTGGTAACCTCCCCCCTCAGTGGTAACCTCCTCTCAGTGGCAACCACCCCCCCGTCCCCTCAGTGGCAACCACCCCCCCTCAGTGGCAACCACCCCCTCAGTGGCAACCACCCCCTCAGTAGCAACCACCCCTCAGTGGCAACCACCCCTCAGTGGCAACCACCCCTCAGTGGCAACCACCCCCAGTGGCAGTGGCAACCACCTCTCAGTGGCAACCACCCCCTCAGTGGCAACCACCCCCCAGTGGCACCACCCCCTCAGTCAGTGGCAACCACCCACCCTCAGTGGCAACCACCCCCCCCCAGTGGCAGCCACACCCCCCCTCAGTGGCAGCCACCCCCTCAGTGGCAACAGTGGGCAGTGGCCACCAACCCCCTCAGTCCAGTGGCAGCCACTTCAGTGGCAGCCACCCCTCAGTGGCAACCCCCTCAGTGGCAACCACCCTCTCAGTGGCAACCACCCCCTCCAGTGGCCAGCCACCCTCAGTGGCAGCCACCCCCTCAGTGGCAACCACCCCCCTCAGTGGCAACCACCCTCAGTGGCAGCCACCACCCTCAGTGGCAACCACCCTTCAGTGGCAACCACCCTCAGTCTCAGTGGCAACCACCCTCCAGCAACCCCCCCTCAGTCCAGTGGCAACCACTCCCCCAGTGGCAACCACTCCCTCAGTGGCAACCCACCCCCTCCAGTGGCAGCCATCCCCTCAGTGGCAACCACCCCCCTCAGTGGCAGCCACTCAGTGGCAACCACCTCCCAGTGGCAACCACCTCTCAGTGGCAACCACCCCCCAGTGGCAGCCACCCCCTCCCCCTCAGTGGCAACCACCCCCTCAGTGGCAGCCACCCCCTCAGTGGCAACCACCCCTCAGTGGCAGTAACCACTCAGTGGCACACCCCCCCTCAGTGGCAATCACCCCCTCAGTGGCCACCCCCCTCAGTGGCAACCACCACCCAGTGGCACCTCAGTGGCAACCACCCTCAACCACCCCTCAGTGGCAACCACCCCCAGTGGCAACCACCCCTCAGTGGCAGCCACCCCCTCAGTGGCAGCCACCCCCCTCAGTGGCACCCCCCCAGTGGCACACCACCTCAGTGGCAACCACTCAGTGGCAACCACCTCTCAGTGGCCCCCCCAGTGGCAACCACCACCCAGTGGCAGCTCAGTGGCAGCCACCCCGCAGTGGCAGCCACTTCAGTGGCAGCCACCCCCTCAGTGGCACCACCCTCTCAGTGGCAACCACCCTTCTCAGTGGCAGCCACCCCCCTCAGTGGCACACCCCCTCAGTGGCAACCACCCCTCAGTGGCAACCACCCCCTCAGTGGCACCACCCTCTCAGTGGCAACCACCCCAGTGGCAACCACCTCTCAGTGGCAACCACTCCCCTCAGTGGCACTCCCCTCAGTGGCAACCACTCCCTCAGTGGCAACCACCCCCCTCAGTGGCAGCCATCCCCAGTGGCAATCAGTGGCCACCCCCTCAGTGGCAACCACAGTGGCAACCACCCCAGTGGCAGCACCCCCCTCAGTGGCAGCCACCCCCCTCAGTGGCACCACCCCCCTCAGTGGGCAGCCACACCCCCCCCTCAGTGGCACCACTCAGTGGCAGCCACCCCCCTCAGTGGCAACCACCACCCTCAGTGGCAGTTGTGGCAGCCACCCTCAGTGGCAACCACCCCCCTCAGTGGCAGCCACCCCCCTCAGTGGCAACAGTGGCAACCCCTCAGTGGCCATCAGTGGCAACCACCCCCTCAGTGGCACCCCCCCCCTGGCAACCACCCCCCTCAGTGGCAACCACCCCCTCAGTGGCAACCTCCCCCTCAGTGGCAACCACCCTCAGTGGCAGCCACCCAGTGGCAGCCCTTGTGGCAGCCACCCCTCAGTGGCAACCTCAGTGGCAACAGTGGCAGCCACCCCTCAGTGGCTCACCCCCTCAGTGGCAACCACCCCTCAGTGGCAACCACCCTCCCCAGTGGCAACCACCTCCCCAGTGGCAACCACCCTCCTCAGTGGCAGCCACCCCCTCAGTGGCAGCCACCCCCCTCAGTGGCCACCTCCCTCAGTGGCAGCCACCCTCTCCAGTGGCAACCACCTCAGTGGCAACCACCCTCAGTGGCAGCCACCTCAGTGGCAACCAAGCCCCTCAGTGACAACCTCCCCCCTCAGTGGTAACCTCCCCCATCAGTACCAGTCTCTCCCCCTCAGTACCAGCCTCTCTCCCTTAGTACCAGCCTCTCTCCCTTAGTACCAGCCTCTCCCCCATCAGTACCAGCCTCCCTCCTCAGTGCCAGATCCTTCCTCAGTGCCAGCCTCCTCCTCGGTGCCAGCCTCCCCCTCGGTGGCAACATCCCCCGGGGAATTTACGGAAATGCCATCATCTCAAACGCTGTAAAGAAGCTGGTGAGGAAGATTCCGGTTCAAGGAGTTTCCCATTTACATCTCCCGCGTCATGTGAGTGAGCAGGCTTATCACAGACACCAACACACCCACACACTCACACTCACCCTAGACACCAACACACTCACTACAGACACCAACACACTCACTACAGACACCAACACACTCATCACAGACACCAACACACCATCACACACACACTCACCCCCACACACACCACACACACACACACACACACCCCACACACACACCCCACACACACACACACACACACACACACACACACACACACACACTCACCCCCCCACACACACACACACACTCACCCCACACACACACACACACACCTCACCCCCCACACACACACACACACCTCACCCCCCCACACACACACACACTCACCCCCCACACACACTCACCTCCACACACACACACTCACCCCCCACACACACACACCCCCACACACACACTCACCCCCCCCCACAAACACACACACACTCACAGAATACAACAACACTCCTACACACACTCACCACAGACACCAACACACCCACAGCATTTCTTGAACTCCAAAAGTCTAATGATTCAACAAACTGTAACGTAGATGAAAATACATTAATTATACAGTATGTTTTGCCTCCCACTGACACATAAGAACAAGTCATTCGAAATCCAGACTGAGTTGGACTTTTCATGGTACACACTCGGTCAGCCTACCATCTATACACATTATTGAGATCATTCAAGCAAGGAAGACGATAACTCTGATTTGTCTTTTCCTTCAATTTTTTTATGCTTTACCTAAATTAGTTTAATGATTACCTATGTTTTGTTGTTTGTTTTCTCTTCTGTGGTTCTAAGATTACATTTGATTTAGTTTTCACCTTATTCTTCATCTCTTTCGTTATGAAGATGGTATACACACAACACTGGTTCCTCAGCACTGGTCTACACGCACTTAAAATGTAAACAAAGTAATGAACAAAAAGAACGTGTTATTCTTCTTCTGATTGGTCTGGTTCCTGGTTACTATAACTTGAGTCACACCAATACACCAACACTATAACCTTGCTTGGTCACATTAACACACAATGACACCATAACTTCGGTCACACTAACACACACAGACCATATCTTCGGTCACGGTAACACAGTATAACCTCCCTCAGTCACACTTACACACAGGCACCATAACTTCGGTCACACTAGGTTATAAACACACTCCAGGTTAAACCATTGCAGTAGTTATGTTCGCGGGTTTTCCAAATTGGGTTAAGCTTCTTCAATTTAATTCTTGGTATGATAAATCTTTTGGCTGTGAGACGCAGACTTTATCGTTTGGGTAGAATGTTTTGTTTAGTCTTGTATTTTTTTATATCCTGGAACACTGGAAGGTTCATTGTTTGAGAGAGAGAGAGAGAGAGAGAGAGAGAGAGAGAGAGAGAGAGAGAGAGAGAGAGACGATTACTCAGAAATATCAGACACAAAGGGAGGCAGAGAAATACAACACCAAAATAAACTTAAGGAAATCAATCTCACACAGACAAAGAGACAAACACAAACTATATTATCTGGGCCTTACACCAGCGTGAAGGAACAGACAGCAGGAAGTTCAGTGAAGTGAACAGTTTGTCTTGAGTCACTGTCGGCGGCTGAGACAACTTGTCGAGCTGAAACTGAGAAAGAGGGGGAATCTGGCTGGCTGAAGGGAATATATTGGTGTGTTGGAAAGACTGAAAAATATATTCAAGATGACAACATTCAGGCATTTTACGTGTTACAGATAAGGTAAACTTTGGCCTTATTACAGGAAAATTCATAACGCTTCATTCTGTTGTTCACTGGTTGGTGTTGCATAGTGTAATGTGTAAAGACGAAAAAAAATGGGCAAGACGTTTTATAAGTTCTCACATGGTTGACTGAGATAAATTTAGTTCACAACGCTTCC